ATGTCAAAAAGTTGCTATTTGCCATCGTAATAACGTGAAGTTGGTCAATTATCATCATGTTTTTTTCCAAATGCGCCATAATTATTATGTAAAATTATGTTTTTGAAATTATATTTAAATTTCAAAAACGTCATTTCACATAATCATCAACATTTCAGCCTATTTCAGTCACGCTGAAATAATGACGACGATGAATTGTTTTAACAAGATACGGCAATAAAGGTGTAATGATTCAGATGCTGTTGAGTGTATACCACCGCCGATGGATTTATTATCACAGTGTAATTTATTGCAGTTTGTAATTTTTTAACATTCACCTGAAAAGTTTTAGTTATGCGCTGAAGTTTAAATATAGACAGGAGCCTGGATGGTTATAATTTTTATAATAATAAAAACGATGCAAAAGATTTAGATCAGCAATTTACCGATAAGCTGCGTCCAATTAACTTATCCAATATCAAACGACATTAAGCTTAACGGGCGTTATGGGATTCTGGCATTCTGTGTGAGCGTTATCTCAAATAATAACAATGTTTTATATTCAGTTTCCGTACGGGCAGATGGAAGACTGTATTAGTTTTCATGCTGCGTACTCTCCTCTGTGGTAGGGGCCACGCTGCTACTTCGGCTGTTACAGGAATGGGCAGGCTCGTCCGGGGAAGTACCACGGACTCACGGGAGACCGGCGTGAAGTGCAAGTATTATACTTTCGTGTTTCGTCTAGTGATTGAGATAACCAGGGCCTATCTTTTTAAAGGTTGGAAACCTGCAACACGAAAGGCGAACCAGGCGAACCGCCTTCTCGTTTGCTAACTTTTCAATTAAGTAAAAGTTTTATCCTGCCATGACTGTTACTTAAATTTATTATCTACATTTGCTTCAACTTTCCATAGCATCACGATCTTTATTATTTTCATGTAGTCATCCGTTTGATCTCGGTGTTGAATAAATAAACCTGGCTCCCAATGGGCGTCATTTAATCCAAAAAGCATTTACTCGTAAGATTATCCTTACGCGTTTAGAGAAGCTATATCTAGTTTACCGAGGCGAGTAAATTGATTTCGACACTGCAATATATTGGCATAGTGCTATAAATTCGTCGTAACTGATATACAATATAAGCGATAATGTATCAAATACTATAACATACGAGCGTATGTTGCTTGTGCGTTTCACATTTATATTTCACATTCTAAACGGCGAAGGAAAACATCGTGAGGAGAACATATTTTGTAAATCCATACTAATATTATAAATGCGATTTAAATGAAATTTGGTACACAGATACTAGAGCCTGAGAAAGTACATATGCTATTTTTTAATCGTGAAGCGTTCTTAAAGAGAAAAGATATTTGTATAAGGTCTTCAACGCCACGAAGCTGCGGGCGAAAAGCTAGTAAGATAAATAAAAAAAAATCAATCAATTCTCGTTGGTGTTGCAGAGTGTACTTTGCCCTAATACTGCCATGTACATACGATGACTTTGTCCAGCAGTGGACCCTATAAAGTCTGTTTCTTTATTTTATCAAAACAGCTATTTTTAAAAAAATATACATTCCAAAGCTGGGCTTTTTCCATATAATAGTCAACGTGACATCCTTTTAAATTACTTCTCCGTAATTTACAAATATGTCCACACTGTTTTATATCAACGCACGACATGTACGCCAGCAAATAAAATTACTACAAACAATTTCATTTAGAAATGGAAATTCCACAACGTCGGGGAAAAGGCGAAAATTCCATAAAACGGAAAAATTACGAAGACCAGAATGTTGTATACGTGGAAAACTATGCAAATCTATGTTAGTTAAACTTATCGTCCTATTTATCGTATTGTTTCGAACTGGACTATACAAATGTGTCACATGTTAATTAAAAATAATTAGGGATTGTGAGTGGAGAAAATTTTCCACACCAATAACTGTAGGTGGCCCAGTTTTGCTACTATTCCACCCAATGGTAAGCGCTAAGTAGCCTCAGAAGTAAACTCATAAGCTCAATTAAAGACAACAACGATAACATTATCGCAATTTTCAAATATTCGCTCCATTATAGTTCTTTGTATCGCGTCAAGAACTAAATCGAAATTGGACATTTTTAGAAACTAGAGACAGACTTGGTCGGCTTGTATAAAATTTTATGGTGATAAAATTAATAATTATTATTAGGCAATACGAGAATCCAATAAGGCATGTCATAAAATGGCATCAAAGACGGCATCTCGTCTATTATATAGCAATAACTTTGTATGATAGATGGAAGAAAGAATACAGATGACAAGCCTGTAGCCGGTCATATATTGGATACCAATAATTCAGTACATTATATATACATTTAAAACTGCACATTTCCCCGATCTGTCGTAAAAACAAATGTGAGACGATCATTTCACTATATTGATTTTAAACTGAATATTTCCCGCCAATTTGGTACATACGATATATAGCTTCACGTGCGACCGCGTGCGTCGGAAGCGTTCGCTTATTAGAAACAATGTGACACGACCACCGTCGTTTCTGCGTCTAATGTTACGTGCCGTTTACGCAACCTTGAGCCTAGAATAGTTGATGAAACACTAACCGATTTCCATTAGCTACCTCATGACGGGGATGAGACGCGAGTATTGTGTGCCTACGTAGAGACACTTGATGCTGTTAAATGGACTCATTATAAACAATAACATCACGTGACGAACCAATTGCAGAATTATGGACGTCGTTATCAACGTATTATAATAAAAAACAATAAAATCACATGGAACAGACTGGCTTTATATTACAAAAGTAATTAAAGATAGTAAAGGCGGCGTAAGTCATTTCACAAATACTTCTATATCGTGTAAAAGATAAATATAATTCAATCTTTTCATTCGTTGAATACTTTTAATGGCATCTACCAGATGGAACCTATTGTTTCATATGAATTGTTAAAGACATTTGTATTCACGTAGAATAGTTGAATGAAGCTGGATTGTTCAATTGTTAACACATTTTAGATGTTTTGAGACAAATCGATATAGCATACACATGCGATATTCTCTTAATAAATTTTCACTTGCAATATTTCTAAAGACCTGCAAGTGATAAACAAATTGGAATTATCGTGCAATCTCCGCAAATGTAGAAATTTTTTACATAAAATTGAAATAAAGTTTCCCTGTATATAGCCTTAGTATATGTACACAAGAAAGTAGACCACTATTATGAGTGTCCCTACTTCTCACTCTATCGTGAGTGTCTAAGGTCTAAATAGTCCGACTAAGGTGCAACGTTAATGCATCATTGTTGCGGAACGACAAAATACGGATTATGTTAATGCAGTCAACGGTATTAAGCCGTTTTGGAGCTTCCAGTAATGTATATGTTTCCGGTGTCCTTTTGTTAAAAATAAATGAAAGGATGTTTAAAGTGGTTTGGTTAAACTTATCAATTATTTGAATTTATTATTTTCGTTTGGATTTAAAATTAAGAAAATATATTTGGTGGATTCCGTATGTTTGGTCAAGCTTCAGTGTACTTTATAACTTGCTCTTGAAAGAGACAATGCTCTCACGTTGTTTATATATTCTCATTAAAAGATAAGGCAATATAATGGACAATCGCACACGAAATCATTATCCGATTATCTTAGGAAAGGAGTCGGCATTATATCGAAACGATTCGCTGACAATACCTTGAGTATTGTTCTTCAATGTCAGATGTTTATCAGTTTTTATAACAATTGTCAATGTGTATTCTCAGCGAAAAAACTATGGCACTATTTATTAGCTTCTATAAGCTTAACTGCGTGTGGCTTCGAATCGATATGTGTGTGAATGTGGAGTTACAGTTTCAGTTACTATGTATATCCAACTTCTAAATATTTCAGCAAGTTTATTAAATAACTATGATATTACATTATTTATTGTTACTAATTTGATGAAACTATGTGTGCTCGACACAGACTAAAAAAATTTTATTGCATGTCCATAATCAAAGACATGTTTCACACAGATCTTACAAGATGTCTACATAAACCATAAATATTATTTTGATACATATTCAACTTAATTGGTAAAAAAAGTAAATGAAAAATATCGTTTGTAATCTATATCTTAGGCGGTTTTTGTTGAACTTTCTAATATACGAGTGGGCGTTTTTATATTCGCGGAATGGTGGTAAGGAGGGTTATCCATACCTTTATCTTTAACAACTTCTGTTACCGCCCCACAATTGTTGTGTGTTTTCTCTGATAATAGAGATATCTTTATCTTTTTAATCGATCAGCAAGATTCATTCTGAGTCATGAAAAACTATCGCCATGAGTTTTCCCAGCTGATTTTGACACCTCAATTTTCTTGGGAGGTGCTGGCCCTTTTTATGCCACTGCATGGAGTCTTGATCAGACTTCATCCCAAGTTTCATTTCCAGTTACAAGTCGGTTCAGTAAATCCCACTTCTTCAGCAGTTTTTTTTAGCTGAGCATCTAATAGTTGAAAATTAGCAACCAGTTTCGGAGTGATCACCTCAATAGACCGTCCTAGCGACTTTGAGTGATTCCTTGCCTTGTTTAACAAACCTATGCCACTTGTATACCATGGTATTCCCAGGACTATAGTCGCCGTTAACCGATGACATCTCTTACAGTACGAATTGAACAGATTCCTTGATAAGAAACTTGATGAAGGCGCGATACTCCATTTTCCCCATTTGCCAAAATTTCTTACAAATTGAGTTGCTCCGTCGTCAATAGATCGAAACCTTATAATATAATATTGTGACAAAACTTTATACTAATTATGAGTTATTGAAGACATTAAGTTCTTAATAGGTCTGGTAATCCTCCCTCCATCAACCCTGCCATTCCACGAACTTATAAGGCCACACCCATATCTACCAATCAAAGAAAAGCACGACGGTAATCTGCTTTCATTAAAATTTATGGTATCTATGAAAGATGTTAATGAGATTTCGAAATTTCGTCTAAACAAAATGTCCTGATATATGTATATGACATACCTATAAGAGTCAGCAGCAACGTCACCCAAAACCAGTGCATCCACCAATGCAGCGTCATGACAGCAGTTTCACGAAGTCTGTTACAACCGCGCTGTAACAAATAAGGATATCGATTAATAGAATTCGGTAATTCGTAGACCCTAAATTTATCTGTTATTATGTTTCCGTTTAATTTACATTCACGAGTTAGCGCATATCCATAGGCAAGGGGGACAATATATAATAGACAATTCAGGATCAACCATTAAGTGGTTAATGGTTGATCCCGCCGGATAACACTACACCCACAGTTAGTGCAACAACAAACACACTAGTTCGCCCTCGCCTCCGAGCACGGCGAGACCAACACAACGCGTACACAAGGTACACCCGCGTTCCGGGGCGGTTCTCACCGCCCCCAGCCACCGATTAGCTAATTGCACAGTCGACGGCCATCGGGGTTTCGGTCCGAACCACGACCTCGATGGCCCTTAGATGACACACCATAGTTAAACGCACGCATGAGCACATGCGTGGCCCTACCCACAGCGGAGGGCCCAAACCCGTGGGTTCTGGCTAGCCCACCGGTTCTGCGTCAGATGAAGCTTTAATAGTCTCGGGACTGAAAGCAAAAACATCAGTTAATAACAAGATATAACATGGTTGATCCTGAATTGTCCAAAAAAAGAACGAAGAGAGTAAAACAAATGATTTAGTAAAACACCTTTGTTTTTCTTTGTATACCATGGTATACTGTATCTCGATTACAAATGTTAAACTAATTAACCTTTGATATTTTATCTCCTCATTTTTGGGGCCATTGGTCTAAAAATCCACGATCTTCACTCTGTTTTCGATTCAACCCCCTCAACAACAAGGGGCGATTTAAGATTTGTTAGGAATTTCTAAGCCAGCCGCAAAATTTCACTATTTGCTTAAAAGGATTCCATGATCAGTCAAATTAATTTCGGAAGATTAATAAATATGAGCACTAAGACGAATTAACTATATCAAAACGAAATTTAAATTGTTTATAGTGCTAATCTTTGCACTTAAGATTGAACATTAAAATATGTAGAAAAAGTGCGAATCGCACAAAATCGCGCAAAGTGCAAAGATTAGCACTATAAACAATTTAAATTTCTGAAAAAGCAATAGCGACATCTCTCGTTCGAACTATCGTTGTAAAACGATATTCGAAGTTGTTTGTATGCTGGAAAGGATATAACAATAGATGGCGCCAAGCATTGCTTCAAATGCTAAGAAAACAATGTGGAAGAATGCGTTAAGATTTTCGTCGGTGTGGTAATCAGCCGTTTAGCTCAGTGATTAGAGCGTCAGGCCGCGAATGCCGAAGACGTGGGTTCCATTCCCATATTTTAATATATCAACACGGATAAAAAAATCAGTAATGCAAACGATTTTAAAAATAACTTCCTTGATATTGCTCAAGCGAACACTCTTGTAAGGGCAAATAAAATGCCGATCTCAGCTGATGCTAGAAAAGCGTGGCTAAGGAATGTAGAAATAAAAATAACTCCCCAGAGGTCGTGCTGAGAGGTGGTTCATTAGGGCGATGCTCGGCTTTAAGATCGGGCGATAATAGACGGAAGAGAGTAGAGAATCATTGACTCATTCTTTTTCAGACGCTGGAGCACGTATTAAGTTAGCTACGGCGACTTTAGAAATATATTGGTAGCTTCTATTCTCGGATCGGCTATTAGCGTTGCTTAATTAGCAAAACAATAGATGACAAAAATAGTCAAATCTCTCGTACCATTTTCTATGCATCCATTACCTAAAAGATTGATTATCTCTTTCGTTCGTATACAGATGGAATTTGCGTGGTTTTAGCTCTTGATCAGGACTGATTGAAATTGATATGAGTGATATATCGTTAACACAATTATTGAAATGCGCACAGAATCAACTGCAATGGCGAGCTAACATTATTTTGACTTTGTTTAACAATCAACTACAACCAACGTTAATTCTAGTGCTCTCGTTTGATTCTGCTTAAAACCTTCTTGCTCGTAACGGTTCGTAAAACTGAAAGTGCGGCGGTAATCTCGACTAAAACCCTGAGTTGTTGAGTCGTTGAGTCTTGTCACGGTATATGAGTTCTACATTAAAATTTAAATTCAACTTTCTTTTAAATGAAGCTACGGTTCCTTAGGTTTGGTTTAAATTTCAATGTTTTGAAAGTTTTTTGTTCTTCGTTTACAGATGATATGAATAGTTATAAATATAAAATATGTTTTTATATGAAGCTCTGACAAAACCATAGAAATTTTAGACCAAATCTACTAAGCTCCGCATATGCTTACAGCAGTGATACAAATACAAATATTTCATTGTTGTAAATTTTATCTGTGACACATTTACTAATTTTGGATCCTCTTTAAAAATGGCGATACCAGAGTTAGAGATTCTCGTTCCCCCGTGGTACAGGTAATTTTGATTAAGTTATATTAATGTCAATCTTATTTGAAAAGTTACTAATATAATTTGGGATAAGTTAAATCAGATAGGGTAACTTGAAAGTGAGGTTAACAGATAAGTTGTAGAAAAATATGTATGTTAAACTATTAAGTATTGTGCCCAGATAAGCGCTTAAAAATAAAAAAAAATAATTATGGAGATATGGGTATATGAGATCATTTTACGTTAGATGTACGTTTGTGTGCGCGCGTGTTTATGAGTGGACGGTCCTGAACATCAGGTCACATAATGGCAATGATATTTCATTAGCACCAAGGATAATGATTTTATACATTTTAACCGTAACACAATCTTGTCGTGTCATACGTACGTACGTACGTGTTATACGTAACAAAATAGAATAAAACGTTAGTGTTTTTACAAAAATCAAAGAATAAATTTCATGGAAACTTCGAAAGTTTAAAAGGATAACGAGACCGTTTCATTTTATTGTAATCAAAAATATTTCTGGTCCAACAGAATCCTAAAGTTGATGTTCTTTGCCTCTTTCATTTTGTTTGGAACGAGTGACTTGTGACTGTTTTCACCATCGATCCTCGGACTTTAAGGGACACCTAAAATTTAAGTGACAGTTTCGCTTTCACCACCGCTTCAGTATCATGTTTAAGACTTTAGGTGGTTGGTGGCTAGGGATCGATGGTGAAAACGGGCATGAATGTTTGCTGCGATGAAATTTTAGTCAAGCCGATTCGTGGAATTACTATTAATTATTCATTCTTATTACACCATCCGACGATGATGCATGTTAATTACGTATAAACAAGCGACATTAAAACTTTAGTAATAAAAAAGTACAACACATTAAATATTTTTTGAACATTGTACTCTTTGTTTTAAATTACATAAATATGTAATCTCCGAATCCGAATTATGTAAAATACGATCTCCGAATATCGCGTCTTCCTATTTTTAATTAAAAATAGAAGAAGCGATATTCCGAGATCTTTTACTTAAGCAAAAAAGCATTAAAATCTTAACTTTTCTTTTCCAATAGAGGCCATGAACTTCTGATGGGTCTTTGGATATTTTCAAGTTTCAGCTGGCTGCTAGGAAATTGAACTAGACTTGTAGAGGGCAGTAAAGGGAGCCAGACTTGCTTAAAGGTCACTGTTGCGTGCACAAATCGGTTGCATTTTTCTGATTGTTAAAAGCACTGACTTATAATCGTGCGTATTACACGAGACCTGTCAAGTGTAGGACTAGATAAGCTCATTGAAAAGTTTTTTTTTATGTGAAAAGTTGCCAAGCGGACAGACGGTTCACCTGACGTTAAGTGAATAGCGCCGCCCATGGACATCTGCTACACCCGAGGGTTCCAGATGCGTTGACAACCTTTTGAAAATTGGGCTCCGCCCGCCTCACTCGCCAGTGCGAAACAAACACGCAAACGCGAAAGTATTATACTTCCGCTTTACGCCGGTCTTCTGTGAGGCCGTGGTACTTCCCCAGAAGCGCCTGCCCATTCGTGCAACAGAAGCCGCTGAGTGACCCTACCACGGTAAGGGTCGAAAAGCAAGAGAGCTTATTAATAATTATTAGGCTCGTAATGCATTTGCGTTCGGTTCAACATCCCGCTGTATGTCCGCAGCGTCATTATCGACAACGACCCCGCGTTATTTACCTAGATTCGGAAAATAATCGGGCAACGCCTTTCACCAGTTGTGCGGATAGAGAAAAAATCTCCGCCAAGGTCAACAGTTTGAACAATGGCGTTTTTGCGGGGTTAACCGATTCGTCACGTTAGCACGGTCTCGTTGCGCAAATCCGATCGCCTTTTCATGCGACACAGTATGGTAAGTGCGCAGTATATTTCAAACAATTGAGATGTTCGACGATTTTTATTCCGCTCATAGAACTACATAAAACTTAGTGATACTTTACGTCACTTTCAACTGGTGTTTTTGCTTTCTGTCCGTAGAATTTTAAATCTTCATTGATCGCAGAAGTCGTGGGATAACCAATTCCTACGCTTGATGGACCTTTATTATTAGGTGCGGTATATAATCGGATTTGCTAGTGACCGAACTTTATAGCTGTCTCCTTGAGTCTTGGGAACATAGATCGCATTCTTCGGGAATTACTATTGATAGCAATTTAATTAATCTTTCATTCTCCTCAAAGACCTAATGAATATGAGCCGTGCTATTAAAAGTAAACATTTTTTTAAACATAAATGCCTTAGTTGTTACACGAATGGTATGGCCCGTCATGCCCCAAGACCAACGTAAAGTAGAAGTTATACTTTGTGTATGTTTCGTCTGGGGCGTGTGAGGTAACTAGGGGCCAATTTATTTGAAAACTGTCAACGCATCTTCAAATCCCAAGGGTCGTAGATGTCCATAGTCGTTGATTACCGAATCACCAAACATCAGTTGAACCGCTTGCTAGCTTGACAACTTTTAACTCATAATAAAAAAAATTAGACAAAAAATGTCAAACAAGATAAAAACAAGTGTGATTTGGTCGACGAGGATATTTTGTTCTAATCTAAACTAAATGTCACCACGTTTTTTTGCAAATCATCGTAACTTTACAGCATAATAATACGCAAGAAGGATTCCTTGAGATACAAATATCTTTAAAGTAATTCAAATTATTAAATAACGAACA